AAGTTCTTCGCGCTTTGCGCTTCGCGCAGCGCGAAGCGCGAAGTTAGGCGCTCTTGGGGATCGCACCAGGCGTTTTTTTTTTTTTTTTGTCATCGGAAACTTGAGCATATACATTACCAGCGGCGGGCTGCTGCTCAATCCCAGAAAGTTTTGAGGCTCGGGGACGACGTCGGGGTGGTGTGGTGTGTACTTGTTTCCCCGCTTTCCCGTGGAAACAACAAAACATGTATACACCAGGATGCCGTATACACCAGAATCAGTTTTCTTGTGCGAGTCTCAGTGCGGGACCGGAAAAAAAACATCGGTGTATAAAGTTCGGTTCCTTAGTTCACGCGCAAACGCTGACCCACAAATGCTTCTGCATCCTTACGCAATATACCTGTTCAGCCACGCCCCCTGCGGCTGATTCGCGCGGGTTGTTTCCAATTCGTGCTTCTCATCACATACCAAGCCGCCCCAAGAGAATCCCACAAGAAGCCAAGCCGCCCCTGGACTGCCAAGGAGACCCCCCAGGACATGCGCGCGCGTGTGTATGTTCACCTGTATGCACGCGTGTTTGAAGGGGCCCTGGGGCACACAAATAGATACACACACAAATAAAAGGAGTCCCAATCTTTTCCAATATTCTCTGGGTTTCTGTCTTCCCCCCCCTTCCCCCCCCCCACCCACACTGCCCCTATTTTCCCATATTTTCTGGGGAATCTCTGGGGAATCGACGATTCATTATGTCTGGGTGTTTTTTTGTCCCTCCTGAGTGTTGTGGAGCTGCAACCAGAACGCTGGCGGGCGAGCGGGCGAGAGGAACCGAGGACCCCTGCCATGCGGATCCAAACGCGAAAACCGGCCAGTGAGACAGTCCCAGACATGATCGCGTCGTAAAATTACCCCAGTGCGACCCTACCTAGAAGTTGGAGCCCCTAGGAAAGCAACACTAGTTGCTACGCTGTGCTATGCCATGCTATGCCATGCTATGCTGCGCTATGCTATGCTATGATATGTTATGCTATGCTATGCTATGATATGCTGCGGTATGCTATGATATGCTATGCTAAGCTATGCTATATCATGATGTGCTATGATAAGTTATGATATGATATGTTATGCTGCGCTGCGCTATGCTATGATATGCTATACTATTCTATGATATATTATGATATGCTATGATATGACATGCTATGCTATGCTATGATGTGCTATGCTTGGCTATGTTATGTTACGCTATGCTATGCTAATGCAGCGCTGCGCTATGCTAAGCTAAACTAAGCTGAGCTAAGCTAACCCTCTAGGCAGAGCCTAGGTTGGGAATTACACCCATACTACTGCTATGCTATGCTGCGCTGTGCTATGCTGTGCTGTGCTGCGCTATGCTATGCTATGCTATGATATGCTATGTTATGCTGCGCTATGCTATGCTATGCTATGCTGGGTTATGATATGATATGCTATGCTGCGCTATGCTATGCTACGCTATGCTATGCTATGCTGTGTTCTGCGATGCTAAAGCTCAGCGAAGCTAAGATGAAGGTAAGCTAAGCTAAGACAAACCTGAGCTAAGATGAAGCTAAGCTAAGCTAAGATGAAATAAGCTAAGCTAAGATGAGATAAGCAATGCTAAGCTAAGGGAACGTCACTGGGGGAACCGCGGGGCGGATGCCGGGGGAACCGCCCGGGGCGGGCCCCACTGCCCGGCCCTTTAAGCCACCGGGTAAGAACCCTTCTAGGCAGAGCCTAGATAGGGAAAAATCAAGACGGTAGGTTTTGAGTTATTTTCAGCCTCGGGGGGCCCTCGCCGGGCCTCGGGACCGTCAAAAACAACTCGGGACGAAAAACGGGCCCCGGGAAAGGGTCGGGACTTCCAGTGACGCCGTCCTGAAAAACTCAGGACGTCGCATGTCTGGCATGTCTGGGACCCGAACTTGAAGGCCGCAGCTTGATAACCCCGACGCAATGAACGAGGATCCAAACACCAGAGCCCGAGTCCCCGCAGAAACCCTCGAGATGAGCGCAAACGAACTCAGACGGGCGAGTTCAGCCGGGCGAGCTCAGCCGGGCGAGTTTAGCCGATTGGATCCGATTTTGGGTTTCCTGCCGATGCAGCCTTGGATCGGGCACGTCCTCCTACAGGCAGATTCTTGAAGAAACAATCGAAATAGTCAAACGCATTCTCATATAGACAATAATATTCGAGAAATCGTCCCCAGACTATTCTTTGGCAGCCCGGTCCGCTGCAAGCTCCGGTCCGACCCGATTGGGCGGTGCGATCTTGGTTGATCTTGCCCCGGCGCGGGCCGGCTCGGTTCGGGGGCGGCATGGCGAAGACGGCTCCCAGCGGTGAGCGGGAGAAATCCGACCGGGGCGAGGTGGCCCGAAGGCGCCTCACGCCGCACTGGCGGCGGAGGCCGAAGCCGAAGCTGCAGTGCACAGGGAAAAAATATATGGAAGAGGCACACCCTGCAGGTTTTGGCCGACAGCACTCCGTGGAGCGGTGCTGCAGCCTCTCCGGAGCACGGGCCTCAGCCGCGCGCAGAGGGGGGTGGGGGGGGGAGGGCCGAGGGCTCCTTAGAAGCACCCCTGCTTCCCAGCAGGCGCGGGGCCTGGTCTGCAGATGTAAGGCCAGCAGCTTCTGAGAGGCAGCATCCGTCTAAGTCTAAGAAGCCCTCCCCCCTCCCTCCACCCCCTTGTGCGCACCGCCAAAGAACCGCCCGAAGAAGAAAAAAACGCCATAAGCGTAAACTTTTGGCCTTGGATCCGCGCTGGGCCCCCCCCCAGCGTCGCCTCCGGCGCCGCCCCTGGCGCGCTCCGCGCGCCAGGGAGGGGGGTCCGGCGCCGAGCCGAGAAATCCGCGCGGACCTCCGAGCTTTTACGTTTATGCCATTGTTCGTTCCCCCAGGCGCCCTCCCTGAACCCCCTCGTGCGCGCCGCCAAAGTCGGGTCGGGCGAAAGGGGCGGATTGGGAAAGGGGGGGTTACGAACTTTGCTGCATGCAGCTGATTTTGGCCTCACCGAGGAGCCCATTCCTCGATACATAGCCGCCTCCGGCGCCGGGAGGCGCCGGGAAAATCAGCTACGTGAGCTGCTTCTCAAACCCCCCCTTTGCTATCCCCCCCTTTCGCCCGACCCGCCAAAGGCCACCCCAGAGCATCAGCCGCACGGGGGGCACGAGGGAGGATGAGGAGGAGGAGGAGGAGGAGGAGGAGGAGGAGGAGGAGGAGGAGGCGGGCTTGCACCCCCGCGTGCCTCGCTGGACGCTGGGCCCGGAGCTCGTGGCTGCCGCGGGTGCCCGCGGCCGGGCCTGCCTCCAGATGCTGGCCCGAGCGCGCCTCTTGGGGGAGGACGGGGGCCGATGCTTCAGGGTCGCCATGAAGAAGGAGAAGAAGAGACAGCATAAATAATAATAATAATAATAATAAGAATAATAATAATAGTAATAATAATAATCTTAATACTAATACTAATAATAATAATAGTAGTAGTAATAATAATAGTAATAATAATAATCATGATACTAGTAGTAATAATAATAATAGTAATCGTAATAATAATGGTAATACTAATAATAAGAATCATAACAAGAACAATACTAATACGACACATATACAGGAAACGAATATTAACAGCAGCAACAACAACAGCAGCAGCAGCAACAACAAACATACTCATAATACACATATGAAGGTACATATTATGAAGGTAATGCTAAGAAGTATACCGCTCGTAACACTCGTAATTATGATAGCGATCGTCACCATAGGAATGCGAAGACGAATCAGAAGAATACGAAGCAGGGGCTCTGCAGGGGAAGGGTTCCGGGTGGCGTTTGGCGGTGCTCGTGCTGTCGGGGCCCTCCGCGCGCCCCGGGACCGTCCAGGGGGGACGGCTCGGGGCGAGAGGCCGGCCCCCGGGGCGGGCGCAGGCCGAAGGCGGCGACGAAGCCGCGGGGAGCGACGGGCGAGAGCGGCCTACAGAAAGCCCGCGCCAGAGACTCGCCGCGCCCTCTGCCCTTCGGGGGCCGCAGCCCCGGGGCCTGCCCGTGGACTGCGGGCGGGAGCGCAGGGAGCGCAGGGAGCGCCGCCCCTGCTGCGGGAGCCGGAGCGCGGGCGCGGGGAGCGATGGGCGAGAGCGGCCTCACAGGCCCACGCCAGCACTCAGTACCAGCCTGGAACATCTCCCTACCCCTGTGCTGGGCACCTCCTCGGCACGATGCCAATCTTAGGGATTCCCTTATCTTTTGAGGGCGAATCCCTAAGATTGTCATCGCCTTTTGGCGTGTCAATCTTAGGGATAGGTATATGTTCGAGGCTGGTACACTCACCACGCGCCCCGACTCTTCGAAACAGTAAAAGCGGCATGAACGTAAACTTTTGGCGCGGCGCTCCGCGCGGATTCCTTGGATCTGCGCTCGGGCCCCCCGGCGGCGCCTCCGGCGCCGCCCCTGGCGCGATCCGCGCACCAGGAACGGGGGGCCAGCGCAGATCCAAGAGATCCGCGCGGAGCGCCACAAGCTTATGGTTAAGTTCTATTTGTTTGTACTTTTCTATTTTCGGAGACCGAAGCCTGGGGCCTGCAGGAGATGCAGGTGGGAATGGAAGCGCAGAGCGCGCAACCCTAGTACCAGAGCCCTGGAGCGCGGGCGTACCAGAAATGGGGGGGCAACGCGCGAGGGAGGGAGGGGAAGGAGGAGAAGGAGCTTATGCGGAACCACCCAGATTCCGACGCTCGCCCGAAGCGGCAGTTTTCTCTCTCATGGAACATTCGGGCTGTGGACTGCCCCAGTCACCAAGACCACGTCTGGAATACCTTTTCGGTTTCATCCCTCCACCACCCTGCTCCCTCAATCCTCCAGACTCATCCATTCTCCACCCTTCTCAATCCGCCCTCCTCTGCAGCCGTCCTGGCTCAAGCCAGGTTCGGCGAATACATGTAAGGCCATCCCTGGCCTATCTCAGTATCTTTGTGCAGGCTGCACTCCACTACCTTTTTCTCGACTGGCAGAGGGCAGGATGAGGTGCCACGCCGCTGCGGTCCTGACCCTCTTACGACCCGTAGCGGCTCTCGTGGCGCCGCCCCCCATGCGACCCCATGATACCGCGGCGCCGCCAAAGTCGTCGCCGGCGGGCGCGAGCACACCCATTGACGGCGGCGGACTCGCGCACTACAAGATACCACAGCAGCTCGTGATGACGGCGAAGTCGGGCACTCTCGACGATTTGCCCGAGAGGACGCGGGAGGAAGAGGAGGAGGAGGAGGAGGAGGAGGAGGAGGAGGAGGTTGAAAGGGCTAAAGGGGAAAAAGTTGAAACGGCGGAGGCGGAGGGAGGAGGAGGGAGGAGAGGAGGAGGAGGAGGAGGAGGAGGAGGAGGAGGAGGAGGAGGAGGAGAGGGAAGAGGAGGAGGATTGAGGAGGAGGAGGAGGAGGAGGAGGAGAAGGAGGAAAGAGGAGAGGAGGGAGGGGGAGGGAGGGGAGCAGGCGGAGGCAGGGAGGGAGGAGGGAGGGTAGAGGAGGAGGAGGAGGAGGGGGAGGGGGAGGCACGACGAGGAGGAGGAGGGCGAAAGCGGCGGAGGAGGCAGGGGGCCCGGAGGCGGCAGGATGATGCAGCAGCGGTGGTCCAGGGCTTCCGTGCTTCGCCGCCGCTGCCGCCGTCCCCCACGGCGTCGGGCCTGCCCTGCCGCAGCCGGTGGGCCTCCTCCTCCCCTCTCCTCCTCCTCCTCCTCCTCCTCCTCCTCTCCTTCTTCCCCTCCTCCTCCCTCCTCCTCCTACTCCTCCCCCTACTCCTCCTCCTCCCCCTACTTCTCCTCCTCCTCCTCTTCCTCCTCCTCTTCTTCCTCCTCCTCCTCCTCCTCCTCCTCTATTCCTGTTTCTCATACATAACTTCTCTCTGTCGCACCCCGAGGCCAGTTTTTTTGGTCGGGCCGGGCGTTTCGCCTGAGAATCCTCATTAGTTTTAACTCTGAGGCTTAAAAATGGCAACAGCTTCACAGATGGAGGGCGGGTCGTTTCAACAATGTGGCTCCCGCCTTAGCGCCGCGCACATTCGTTTTAGAAATTTGCAAGAGCTTCACGGATTGAGGGCAGGTCGGTTTCAACATGTGGCTCTCGCCATAGCGCCGCACACATTCGTCTTAAACATTTGCAGGAGTTTCACGGATTCAGGGCGGTTCCTTTTCAAAATGTGGTTCTCGCCTTAGCGCCGCGCATATTCGTTTTAACAAGTTGCAAGAATTTCACGAATCCCCATGATCAACGTACCTGAAATGGTGCTCTGGAAGGATTCGGGACCATGCTGGTGCAACAGTTATGTTTATTCGCAGGACGGAAGTCCCAAACGTGGCTTTCTGGCACGATTCCTGATCGTTAGGGCGCAGCAGTCAGGTTGACCCGCGGCGTGAAAATCCAGAGACAGTGTTCTGGCATGCTTCAAGGAATTCAAACGGTAGTCTTCAAACGAAGCAGTTCCCCCAATGGAAATGAACCGTCGTAGGGCCATATGAAGAGGGAGCTTGGAGGGAAGGTGAATTCCAACATCGTTGATGACGCTTGGGATTACACTGGTCCTCCTCCTCCCCCCATCCTCCTCCTCCTTCTCCTCCTCCTCTTCCTCCTCCTCCTCCTCTTCTTCCTCCTCCTCCTCCTCCTCCCCATCCTCCTCTTCCTCCTCTTCCTTCTCCTCCTCGTCCTCCTCCTCCTCCTCCTCGTCCTCCTCCGCCTCCTCCTCCTCATCCTCCTCCTCCTCCTCCTCCGCCTCCTCCTCCTCTCTCCCTCCCCGGGTGCCCTGCGGTCGGCGGGGCGGCCCGCGCACCAGGGGGCATCGGGCGTCGAGCCGAAGATGGGTCATTCACTCGTCGGGAAGGTTGTGGTAGGTGGTGTTGTGGTGGTGGTGGTGCATGGTGGTGTTGGTGGTGTTGGTGGTGGTGGTGGTGGGTGGTGATGGGTTGTAGGTGGTGGTAGGTGGTGGTGGTGGTGGTGGTGGTGGTGGTGGTGGTGGTGGTGGTGGTGGTGGTGTGTGGTGGTGGTGGTGGTGGTGGTGTGGTGGTGGTGGATGGTGGTGGTGGTGGTGGTGGTGGTGGTGGTGTGGTGGTGGTGGGTGTGGTGGTGATGATAGCTGGTGATAGGTGGTAGTAGGTCGTGGTAGGTCGTGCTAGGTGGTGGTAGGTGGCGGTAGGTGGTGGTGGGTAGTGGTAGGTGGTGGTGGTGGTGGTGGTGGTGGGTGGTGGTTGGTGGTGGTGGTGGTAGTGGTGGTGGTAGGTGGTGGTGGCGGTGGTGGTTGGTTGTTGTTGTTGTTGGTGGTGGTGGTAGGTGGTGGTAGGTGGTGGTTGGTGGTTGGTTGGTGGTAGTTTTTAGGTGGTGGTGGTGTAGGTGGTGGTAGGTGGTAGTGGGTAGGTGGTAGGTGGTGGTAGGTGGTGGTAGGTGGTGGTGGTGTGGTGGTGGTGGTGGTGGTGGTGGTGGTGGTGGTGGTGGTGGTGGTGGTTGTGGTGGTGGTGGTGGTGGTGGTGGTGTGTGGTGGTGGTGGTGGTGGTGGTGGTGGTGGTGTGGTGTGTGGTAGGTGGTGGTGGTAGGTGGTGGTAGTGGTTGTATGTGGTGGTAGGGTAGGTGGTGGAATGTGGTGGTGGAGGTGGTGGTGGGGTAGGTGGGTGGTGGTGGTGGTGGTTGTGGGGGTGGTTGTAGGTGGTGGTCATGGTGGTGGTGGGTGGTGGTGGTGGTGGTCGTGGTGGTGGTGGTGGTGGTGGTGTGGTGGTGGTGGTGGTGGTGGGTGCTGGTGGTGTGGTTTGGTGTAGGTGGTGTGGGTGGTGTGTTGGTGGTGGTGGTGGTGGGAGGTGGTGGTATTTCGTGTGGTAATGGTGTGGGGTGGTGGTGGTAGGTGGTGGTAGGTGGTGGTAGGTGGTGGTAGATGGTGGTAGGTGGTAGGTGGTGGGTGGTTGTGGTGGTAGTGGTAGGTGGTGGTAGGTGGTGAGTGGCGGTGGGTGGTGGTGGGTGTAGGTGGTAGGGTGTGGTAGGTGATGTTGAGTGGTGGTAGGTGGTGGTAGGTGGTGGTGGTGGTGGTGGGTGGTGGGGGTGGTGGTGGGTGGCGGTGGTGGTAAGTGGTGGTTGTGGTGGTAGGTGGGGTAGGTGTTTGTTGTTTTTGTGGTGGTGGTGGTGGTGTGGTTGTGGTGGTGGTGGTAGGTGGGTGGTGGTCTGGTGGTGGTGGTGGTGGTAGGTGGTGGTGGGGTGGTGGTGGTGGTGGTGGTGTGGGGAGGGTGGTTGGGGCTGTGGGTGGTGGTTTGTGGTGGTGGTGGGTGCTGGTGGTGGTGGCGGTAGGTGGTGGTAGGTGTTGGTGGTGGTGGTGGTGGTGATGGTTGGTGGTAGGTCGTGGTAGGTGGTGGTAGTTTGTGGTTGGTGGTGGTAGGCGGTGGGTGGTGCTGGTGGTGGTCGTGGTGGTGTTGGTGGTGGTGAGTCGATGTGGTAGGTGGTGGGTGGTGGTGGTGGTGGTGGTGGTGGTGGTGGTGGTGGGTGGTGGTGGTGGTGTGGTGGTGGTGGTGGTGGTGGTGGTGGTGGTGGGTGGTGGTGGTGTGGTGGGTAGGTGTGGTAGGTTGGCCGTGGTGGTAGGTGGAGGTTGTAGGTGGTGGTAGGTGGTGGTAGGTGTGATAGGTGGTGGGTGGTAGTGGTGGTGGTATGTGGTGATGGTGGTGGTGGTGGCGGTGGTGGTGAGGGTGGTTGGGTGGTGGTGGTGGTGGGGGTGGGGGTTGTGGGTGGTAGGTGGTGGTAGGTGGTGGTGGTGGTGGTAGGTGGTGGTGGGTTTTGTTGGTGGTGGTAGTGTTGGTGGTAGGTGGTGGTAGGTGGTGGTGGTGGTGGTGGTGGTGGTGGTGGTGGTGGTGGTGTGGTGGTAGGTGGTGGTGTGGTGTGGTGGTGGTGGTGGTGGTGGTGGTGGTGGTGGGTGGTGGTAGCGGGCGGTGGTGTGTGGGGTGGGTGGTGGTGGTGGTGGTGGTGGTTGTGGTAGGCGGTGGTAGTTGGTGGTAGGTGGTGGTAGGTGGTGGTAGGTGGTGGTAGGTGGTGGTAGGTGGTGGTAGGTGGTGGGAGGTGGTGGTAGGTGGTGGTAGGTGGTGGTGGTAGGTGGTGGTGGTGGTGGTAGGTTGCGGTGGTGGTGGTGGTGGTGGTGGTAGGTGGTTGTCGTGGTGGTGGTAGGTGGTGGTAGGTGGTGGTGGTAGTGGTGGTCGTGGTGAGTGGTGGCGGTCGGTGGTGGTGGGTGGTAGGTGGTGGTAGGTGGTGGTAGGCGGTTGTAGCTGGTGGTAGGTGGTGGTAGGTGGTTGTAGCTGGTGGTGGTGGTTGGGAAGGGTGGTGGTGGTGGTGGTGGTGGTGATAGGTGGTGGTAGGTGCTGGTAGGTGCTGGTAGGTGGTGGTGATGGTGGTGGTGGTGGTGGTGGTGGTGGTGATGGTGGCAGGAAGGGGTAGGTGGTGGCAGGTGGTTGTTGTGGTGGTGGTAGGTAGTGGTCGGTTGTGGTAGGGTGGTGGTAGGAGCTTGTAGGTGGTGGTAGGCGGTGGTGGTGGTGGTGGTGGTGGTGGTGGAAGTGGTAGTGGTAGGTGCCGGTAGGTGGCGGTAGGTGGTGGTATGTGTTGTTGTTTGTGGTGGCGGTGGGGTGGGGGTTGGGGTTGGGTTGGGGGTGATTGTGCTGGTGGTGGTGGTCGTGGTGGTGGTGGTCGTGGTGGTGGAGGAGGAGGAGGAAGCTGGCATGAAGGAAAGGGGGGCTCACTGATGGTTCGTCGATCCGTCGACCTGTGGACGTGGGGGCAGTTCGGTGGTGCCTCGGTCTGTGGACGTGCTGCACTCATCGGGGCAAGTCTGCAGCAGGTGGTGGTGGAAGGGAGGAGGAGGGCACGGGCGCGAAGGAAAGGGGGCACTGTGGTTCGAGGTTCGAGCATCGAGGTCCGCGGGTGGGGGGCTGATGGATTTTGCCCATCGTTTTGAAGAGGCGGTCCCCGCGTCTCCTCCTCCCCTTGCTTGCCTCTGCCCTCATCCGTATACGCGTCTCCCCGGCCCAGTACAGCGCTTCGTGGCCTCATAAGGCATCTGAGGAGGAGGAGCAGGAGGAGGAGCAGGAGGAGTTCGGTCGGATCGGGCATTGAGGCGGTCCTCGTGACGTGATGGGGGAATGGCGCACACCCCTTGAGCTAGGGGCAACGTAACTCTTATCCCGCGCGACAGCTCCTCAGTGCGAGGAGGGGTACCCAGCCCTGAACCCGAGCCTGCCATGGGGCACCAGGCCCGCCCGGCACAGACCAGCAGGGGCGGCGACGTAAAGGCGTAAGCCTCTGAAGCGAAGCAACAGACTGACAGCGAGAGGGAGGGAGAAAGCAGCAGCGGAGGAGGAGGAGGAACATGCCGGAAATCGAAGCAACGCTACGCCCCGCTCACGCTCAAGCCACCACTAAATGGAAGAAGAGGCCCAGATTTGCAAAGAGTAATTAACCAACCACCTGCCAAGCTGACGTCACCATGTGGAGGAGGAGGAGGAGGAGGAGGAGGAGGAGGAGGAGGCGGAGGAGGAGGCGGAGGCAGAGGAGGAGGCAGGGGAGTGGAGGAGGAGGTGGAGGAGGAGGAGGTGGCGGAGGAGGCGGAGGAGGCATAGGAGGAGGGGAGGACGAGGAAGAAGAGGAGGAGGTGCAGGAGGAGGAGGAGGAGGAGGGAGGAGGAGGAGGAGGAGGAGGAGGAGGAGGAGGAGGAGAAGGAGGCGGAGGAGGAGGCGGATGAGGAGGTGGAGGAGGAGAAGGAGGAGGTTGGAGGAGGAGGCGGAGGAGGAGGAGGATGGGTTCTGGCGCGTCGTTTGCCTGGCCCATACCGGAGGCTCCTCGTCGCCGCCGCGGCCGGGCCCGCCGCGAGAGGCCCCGGCCCGTGGCGCACCCCTTGGAGAGGTCCCCGGGAGGGGGGGGGAGACTCGGCGGCGCGCCTTGGGGAGCCCCTCGCGCGCCGCCGGTGGACGTCGGGGAGGCTCGGGTTGTTTGGCATCGCTCGGACATGTCCGTTGCTCATCGGCAAGCAGGGCCGCCCACGACCCGAGTCGATGCGGCTCGTCTCGCCGGCCAGGGCCGCGATTCCGATTCGGTTCGGTTCGTGTTGGTTCATTGGCATCGATCGCGGCCAGCCCGAGCCAGGCGCGGCGATCCGTTTTCGATTCGATTCTGGACGATTCGCTGGCGATCCCGTCCGTTACCGATCCGGTCCGATTTCACGATTCGACCAAGGAGCATCAAGGACCATCAAGGAGCATTTTGTTCACCTTGCGAAAACATGCACGCACGCAACCGACACATGCACAGGAAATGGACGCCCGAGCGATGGCGAGGTTGAGGATACGACGCTCAAGAGCGTTCCGGAACGCCCTCAGGCTGGTCTGGAACGCTCTGAAACGGCCGCGCGGCGCCCCATACATCGCCGGACCAGCCAATTCTCGGAGGTTCCCGATGCAGCCTCGTCCGGGCTTGTCTTCATCCTGTCTTCGTCTTACGCGAGGACGCTGGCCAACGTCCGCAGCACGCTGGCGCTGAACCCCGAGCTGCGGGTGCGGTTCCTCAACGACTCGGCGTGCGCCGAGTTCATCGGGAGCCACTACGGGGCGGAACTGCTCTCCGCGTTCAGCAGCGAGAGGGTGGCCCTAAGATCTCGGGCAGGAGGGGGGTCGAGGACGACGACGATGGAAGGCCGCGGGATGCAGACGTGGAGGCGCACGCGGGCTGGACTCGAAGGGTAGCCTGTCCCGGCGTGTACCACGAAGCTGGATACACGTGGCGCGACCAGCCTGGGCGAGGGCTGGATACACCCGTGAGCGAGGCAAGCATACAGGTTCGATTGCGCCGACATTCTCGCGTAAGCTGCCCGCGCAAGATGATGCGTAAGCGCCCTCGTCTCCACTGCAGCGTGCCGCGCTGGCGGCCCGCGTAAGCCGCCGCGTAAGGTCGCTGTGTCATCTCGCGTAGGTCCCGTTTCTTGTCGTCGCCCATTGGAGGAGGAGGAGGAGGAGGAGGAGGAGGAGGAGGAGGAGGAGAATGAGGAGGAGGAGGAGGAGGAGGAGGAGGAGGAGGAGGAGGAGGAGGAGGAGGAGGGGAGGAGGGGAGGGAGGGGGAGGGGGGGGGAGGAGGAGGAGGAGGAGGAGGAGGAGGAGGAGGAGGAGGAGGAGGAGAATGAGGAGGAGGAGGAGGAGGAGGTGAGGAGGAGGAGGAGGAGGAGAGGAGGAGGAGGAGGAGGAGGAGGAGGAGGAGGAGTTCGAGGAGGAGGTGGAGGATGAGGAGGACGATGAGGAGGTGGAGGGAACCTGTCTTTCCAGCGCTCGGCCTTTCCATGGCCGTTCCGCGAAATCTGGGCGTCTGCCGGTGTATCCAGCGCGTGGCCTCCAGACGATCCGCGTATTTATGAGGAAAAGAAATGGAGGAGGGGAGAGGAGGACGAGGAGTAGGAGGAGGACGAGGAGGAGGACGAGGAGGAGGACGAGGAGGAGGAACAGGAGGAGAAGGAGGACGAGGAGGAGGAGGACAAGGAGGAGGAGGACGAGGAGGAGGACGAGGAGTAGGAGGAGGACGAGGAGGAGGACGAGGAGGAGGAACAGGAGGAGGAGGAGGAGGAGGACGAGGAGGAGGACGAGGAGGAGGAGGACCAGGAGGAGGAGGAGGAGGAGGAGGAGGAGGAGGAGGAGGACGAGGAGGAGGACGAGGAGGAGGAACAGGAGGAGGAACAGGAGGAGGAGGAGGAGGACAAGAGGGGCCCTGAGGGAGAAAGAGGTCGAGAGGCTTTGTGAGAGTCCAGCCATGGGTGCATCTGGTGTCTTGGTGTTTTGCCGTGGCGGGTTAACTGTAGGTTCGCGCTGGGCCGCCCCCGAGCGCCTGTGGGGGCGCTGTCACGCGACCAGCGGAACGGAAGACGACGACGGCGTTGAGATGTCCAGTGCTCTTATATCCAGCCGTGCTGCCGCGCGTGCCCGCCCCCGCACTCGCGCGGTCGCCTCTTGGGAGAGGGTGATCGGGGAGAAAAACCAGTATCAATGGCACGACGCCGAGGGAACACCATCAGCGTGATATCGCTGAAAGAATGAAGACATAACACGCTGGCGGGCTACCAACGGCAGTGTGTCATTGATACCCTCCCTCCCTCCCGAGGGGAGGAGGTCTTGGGGCGCGACGGCGGGGTGGGCGCAAGGGGAGGGTGGGAGCCAGAGGAGGGCGCGTTGGACGCATTAGACTCTCCAGAGCGGGGGCTCTCGCACATGTTCGGGCAGAAACACCCACGGAGTTGCGCCGATTGCAGCATACTGCTGGACTAAGCCAGAAGAGGACGACGGCAATATTCTAGACGTTTCGCGTAACCCCGCCAGCCCATGCAGAAACGATGCCAAGGCGAGTTGCCCTGATCAGGGATCTGGAGGAACATGCAGTGGAATGAAAGGCTAGGGAAGCAGCTGTACCCCCAGAGGGGGAGGGTGGAGGAGGAATCGAAGGAGGAGGAAGAGGAGGAGGAGGAAGAGGAGGAGGAGGAGGAGGAGGAGGAGGAGGAAGAGGGGGAGGGAGAGGGGGAGGGGAAGTAGGGGGGAGGGAGCAGGATGAACAGGCGGATGAGGAAGAGGATGAGGAGGAGGAGGAGGAGGGCGGGCAGAAAGGCCAGGGGCCTTCTAAATATCTCTCGGAGTCTCTTCGGATGTATGTTGAGAGTGTCTTGGGGTCCTATTGGGGCGTTTGGGGGGCCTCTTGGCGGTCCCAGCGGCCCCGTGGAGCGTCTTGGGTACCTCGGGAGAGCCTCTTGGGGCTCTCTTGGGGGTCTCTTGGGAGCCATTTGGAGACCTCTTGGGACCTCCTGGGGCCTCCTAGGCGCCTCGTGGGGCCGTCTTGGGGCACCCTTGGGAACCTTGGGGGGCCATCTTTGGGCCATCCTGGGGGAGATCAATCAAAGGGGGGGGAAACCAAAATTATACCGTTCCCCCCGAGGCCAAAAGGTGTCCAACATTTCTTTTGGTCAAAACAGTGATGTGTGCCTTCTTGCCGAGCCCTTCGTGCACGCTCGAGTCGGTCGCGACACCCCTCCTTCAGACCCAGGCGGAGAGAGTAGAGGGAGGGGTAAGCGTAAGTCGGGCCTGTCCCTCTACAGGGAGAATATTTTAAAATAGTTAAAAAATAGTATGGGGAGGATTTGTTCGGTTATTTTTAACCATTTTGGAGCATGGTTTGACTACTTTTTGTTCTTCGTCCACAATCCTCCTGTAGGAGGACACGCCCGACCTGAGGGTATGCTCCTCCCCGAAGGGAAAGCAGGGGGGTTGGAGGAGGAAATCCAGGAAACCACTCACGCCCCCAAGGGCTGGTGGGTTTCCTCCGCGGCTTCTGCACCACAGGTCTGCGCCCATGCCGGCGCGGCGGCGACCCCGGCGCAGGCGTTGGAGGCTGGAAGCCGCCAGCGGCCCCCGAAGTAGCCGACATCGAATAGCCCGCTCTGCCGGAGAGCCGCAGTCGCACGGGGAGCGGAGCGCTCCACGCCCGTGGCCACGAGACGCCAGGAGGGAAAAAAAGCACACAGACACAGTCAACCGTCGTCGACTCCCTGGAAAAGAGAGGCAAACATGAGAAGCGGGGGGGGGGAGGAGGATGCAAGCCCAGAAGATATGGGAAGATATGGGGGATCCTGCTATGTCTGTGCGTACTTCTCTGTGTGCCCCGGGGCCCCCCGTGCAAGACGAGCGCGCAGGGGTCGCCACGGCGCGAGCCTGCTCCCTGGGCACGTCCCGCGAGGGACCGCTCGGCCAACGGTCGGCTCACGCAGGCCGTCGGCTCCCCGCGGCCCTGGCGGCCCGCGGGGGGCGCCCGACGAGGGCAGCGTGCCGGCGGCGGGTGCGCCCCGTCGGAGTGCGGGAGGGGCTCGCTGCTGCTCGGCCCCGCGCGTTGGCTCCCCGGGCGCTCCCCCGTGCACCCGGGCGCCCTCTGAGGCAGCAGCTGGGCTCCGTTCCTCCCTGGGCGTCCCTCATAGGGCGACGAGATCTATGCATATCCACTGCTCCTGGCCAGGCCAATCCTGGGCCCAGGAGCGGTGTATACGCCCTCCTGGCCTGGCCAGGGAGGCATATACACAGCTCCTGGGCCCAGGATGGGCCTGGCCAGGAGCAGTGGATATGTGTAGATCTCGTCGCCCTACCTCATGGCATCTCAGCTTTACGGCGGCACGATCCCTCATCGCACATATCGACGATGTTGCCGTTGACCGCCTCAAGCGCTCAGGGGCTTCGGGGGGACTTCCGAGCCGGGCGCCGTGGACAAGCCTCACGATCAGCACCCTCGGCCCGCCTGGGGCCCCAGGGCCCTGACGGATCGGTCTGCCGCGAAGCGACGGGGTCGAGAGGTAGTCAATTTGCCCTCCATTTCCAGTGTGGGGGGGTCGGAGACATCGTAAAAGCACATGGAACCCGCACAATCCGCCTAACCAGAAGTTCGGGTCAAATTCGGGTCTTCGGGTTGGGTTGGGGTGGTATGGTAGGTAGTCCTCCTCCTCCTCCTCCTCCTCCTCCTCCTCCTCTTCATCCTCCTCCTCCTACTCCGCGCGAGCGCCCCTCGGACAGTCCCAATCCCTGCACACCAGGAGGACTATTGGGGCTCACGAGCTACCCACGGGCTTGATGAGCTTTAGGATGGCCTTATGTCCCCCACTCTGACTGTTGCGGGGTGGGGTACACGGCTCTTTGATTAATTTTCGAGAGGCCCGAACCCGCCAGCATCCGCACCGCCGACACCAAAGAACCCCGCGGCACAGGGCGAGGTGATGTTGGAGGTTGGGGTGGATGGCAGGCCCTTCCTCCTCGAAATCTATAATCCCTCCTCCTCCTCCTCCTCCTCCTCTTCCTCCTCCTCCTCCTCCTCCTTGTTGGCCAGCAGCAGCAGAGAGGAACCCCCTTTCTCATCAGTCGGGTAGCAGGCGAGTTCCAGCTTTCGGGACAAAGCGGTCATCTCGGCGAAGCAGTGGAGATTGCGGCGGGCGAGCTCCTCTCGGCTGCTCGTGGTTCTCGACCCTCGCCATTGTCGCTGCCAAGCTGTGCTACTCCGCAGCCGCTCTCTCTTTTGTGCTCGCCGTCTGGCCGCCACTTTGGTGCGGGTTGGTAGTACTCGGAAAAGCAAAAACGCCATAAACTAAACTTTTGGCGCTCCGCGCGGATTTCTTGGATCCGCGCTGGGCCCCCCGGGCGGCGCCTCCGGCGCCGCCCCTGGCGCGCTCCGCGCGCCAGGGAGGGGGGTTCAGCGCAGATCCAAGAAATACGCGCGGAACGTCACAAGTTTTTGTTTACGACATTCCCTTCTTCTGGGTAAGAGGAGGGGGGAGCAAGAAACCCTCTGCAGGGGAGAGGGTGATCCCCGCACCTCCCCCTGGCCCCAGGTCTCCAGAGGTCACCATGGTCCCCCTGGCCCCAGGTCCCAGTGCGATCCGTGTTGTCTCCAGAGGTCTCCTAGGAGGTATCCATGGATGTGGCCCCTGGAGGCATCTGGGAGGCCCGGGGCTGTGCTCCTCTGCCTCCTCCTCCTTCACGGCCCCGCCTCCCCCCCCCCTCCTCCTCCTCCTCTTCCTCCTTCTCCTCCTCCTCCTCCTTCCTCCTCCTCATCCTTCTCCTCCTCTCCTCCTCCTCCTCCTTCTCCTCCTCCTCCTCCTCCTCCTCTCCTCCCTCCTCCTCCTCCTCCACCACCCCCCCTCCCTCTTTTTTTCATCCATCCTTCCCTCCTCCCTCCTCCTCATCATCATCCTTGCCCTCCTCTCCTCCTCCTCCTCCTCCTCCTCCTCCTCCTCCTCCTCCGTCTTCTCCTCCTCCTCCTCCTCCTCCTCCTCCTCCTCCTCCTCCTCCCTTCAGCAGAAGGTGGGGGCCTACAAGGGAGACATCTGCAGGGCGGCGGTGGTCGCGGTCGAGGGCGGCTTCTACGCGGACCTGGACGTGCAGTTCCGTCTGCCCTGCTCAGGGCGCCCTAAGCCGGAGGGATAGTGAGATTCAGTTTCCCTCAGTCAGTTGGAGATGGCGTCACTTCTAACGGAGTTAGCCAGAGCATGGTGACATTTCATGCGCACTGCATTCCTCGATATTGTGTTGGTTGACCAAGGTTGGGGGCCTTTCCAGACTGCGCCGCGCCGCATCACGGCGATGGGTCCCCATGGAGATGCATCGCTGTACACTCGCAGACCCGAAGTGGCCAACCACCGATCAGCGACCCTTCGTGGTGCTTCTTGCCGACTCGTCCTCCCCCCGTCTTTCCCATCCTCCCCGGCCCCTTCCCACCTCTCTCTCCACAGGGGGGAAGGGAGTCGAGTCTCAGGGGGAATAGAGCGTCGAGTCTCACCGTCCGCGTGGCTTCGGATGCACTGCCCTTCTCGCACCTGGTGGACCGCCGGACGACCTTCATGAGTGCGTTCGACTCGTTCTGCAACCTCTGGAATGCCATCTTCGCGGCCGAGGCTGGCAGCCCCGTGATGAAGGCCGTTGTGGAGCAGATGGTCGACTGGTACAGGGGGAACCATACGGAGGCCGAGCTGATGGGCACCCACACGTTCCTGCAGGGGCTGGAGGCGGTGGTCGCGAGCGAGTGCCCGGTGCACTGCGGCAGGGGATCGCATTCTGCCACCTGTGGGCTGTCCTGGAAGGCAAAGGGGAAGCTCCAGTTCAGGTGTGGGACGCAGCACGAGATCCGGCTCTACAGGGAGAAGAAGCTTACGTGCGGACTTTTGCCCACTGAAGAGTGCCCAGAAGGGCGGATGGAGGGCAATGGATTCTTTGGCCTTCGTTTCGGTATCTTCGAGCCTGGGATAAAGGGAAAGTTGGTGGGCTGGTCCCGCTTCGAGAACTGCTCAGATTCTTAGGCTTACGCCACACCGCCGACCCCTTGGGGGACTGGCGGTTGTTGCGTGATGCTCCTGAGGGCCTCTTGGGCGCCTTTTGGAGGCTTCTTCGAGCTCTTTTGGGGATCCATGGGGGCCACTTGGGGGCCTTCGAGGGGCCTCTTCTGTTGACATTCTCTTTAGTTGCTGAGCACGCATGGGGAAACGGGCGAGAACCCACGTATAAAGGCAGCGGGCATCTGTCAAAACACCCGAAACATGACTATCGAATGGCAATGGCCTTCGGCACATCCCGCCACCGTGCCTGGGTTGCGGCTCTGAGGCCACTCGTATGGCTGATGGGGTCTCGTGGGGGGCGTCTCGGGGGCGTCGTGGAGGCAGTGTTTGAACCTCCTGGGGCCTCTTGGGGGCTTTTACTGCCCTCTTGGGGCTCCCTGGGAGCCTGTTGGGGGAATCTTGGGGTAACCCAGAGGCGTCTTGGGTCGAAGGCTCACAATGTCTGTTCGAGTTCCCTCTCTGGCCCCCCTCTTTGGGCTGTCCTGGGGCCCTCCTGGGCCGTCTTGGGGGCTTGTTGGGACGTCTTGGGGCTCTCTTGGGTCGTCTTGGAGCCCACTCTGGGCCTCTTGGCCCGTCTTGGGGCAAGCTTGAGGCCTCCTGGGCCGTCTTGAACGTTGTGAACGAGCCCAAAAGGCGAATCTGCCAAAAACGCAATGGGACGATTTTTACTTCCGGAGGCCCTCTTGGGACGCCTCTTGGGGGCTTCTTGGGGCGCCTTGGGGCCTCTATGGCCGTCTTGAGGCCAACGTGGGCGTTTTGCATCGATCTTTCGGCGACTCGTGGCCCTCTTGAACCGTCCGGGGGGGCCTCTCGGGCCCCCTCGTGGCCCGTCTCGGGGCCCTCTGTCTCCCCTATGGCGCGTTCCTTCTCCTGCCCCTTGTCCTCCTGCCCCTCCTCCTCCTCCTCCTCCTCCTCCTCCTCCTCCTCCTCCTCCTCCTCCTCCTCCTCCTCCTCCAGGCAGGGGACAAAACCTCCGCCGAATCGACCAGACCAGGCTCCCGGGGGATGGGCTTGGGGAGGGGTACGCATTTCACGCGCCGCTGAACCCCAAGGGGTCGGCGGACTTCGGTTGCAACCAGCGGCGCATGCGGGACCCCGCCAGCGAAGCGCGCGTAGAGGCAGGGCCATCCGCAGGGACGGCGCCCCTCCGGACAGTGACGCAGCAGGACCTGGCGGGCTCGCGTTGCGGATAGATGGGAGCGCACCTCCTCCCTCCTACCCCTCACTGGCTCCCCGCGTTTCCAGGCCTCCTAGACGGGGTCGGAGCAGATGGGGTCGGAGGATCGCGCCGCATCGCCGGTGCATCGCAGATGCGGCTCGATGTGGGGCCCGATTTGCTTCACGTCGACGTCGCCGATGCATCGCCCACGTCGACGATGCATCGGCGATGCGGCGCGATCCTCCGACCCCATCTACTCGAACCCCATCTGGGAGGCCTCTAGTAGTCCTCGCGCCCCTGAGCGTCGGGCGACGATCTGCCTCTCCGTTCGCAGAGGAGCACCTGGGAGCGCGCGGCGGCGCGGACCGTCAGGAGGACCTTTTGCTCGTCGCGGGCTTTGGCCCAGGACATCTTCGGTGCTGTCCCAGTCTCTGAGCCCCATTTGCATGCGCGAGGCCATGCGTGCAAGGCTGGCTGAGCATCTGCTTGATACGTCGCCAGAAGGTCATCGGTCACTGGCCTTGGCCGCAGCGAAAAAGGACATGCTCGCTCTCCGCAGCTCATCACTTTGACTCAAGAGACGTACGCCAGTCTGCCGATCCCCCCACCCCCAAAACAATAACAACAGCAACAACAACAGCAACAATAATTTTAAGACCGTTCGCCCTTATATGCTCGAGTGTCCAATAACGCGTATTTCCCAAACCCCCGATACCCACCCTCTTCGTCTTCGATCCAACCCCTTTTCGGGGGTATACCTTTCTTCCCTGCAGGCTGGGCCCCGGCAAGCGGCGGGGCGGCCGCGGACCGTCGGCCTGGCCAGCGGCAGCGCTGATCGGCGGGGCGGCCGCGGACCGTCGACCCGACCCCAAGAGGGACGGACAGGGGACCGACCACGACGACGACGACGACGACGACGACGACGACGACGACGACGACGACGACGTCGAAGACGACGGACGACGACGACGACGGCGACGACGAGCGAAAGCGAGAGCGAGAGAGAACGACAGCAGGGCCACGAAGGGCACGAAGTAGGCCACGAAGGGCGACAGCGGGGACACGAAGGGAATGCATATGGGGCCACGAAGAGCGCGAACGAGCGGGGGCCACGAAGTGCAGATAATGCGGGGCCACAGAAGGCAACTATGGGGCCACTGAGGGTAGCAACTGGGCCACGTAGGACAGTGAGGGGGACACAAATGGCGACAGCGGGGCCACGAAGGGCATGCACATGGGGCCACAACGGGCGCGACTCCTGGGTGCCTGGGTGTCGGGAGCGCGGCGCTTGGGCAAATTGCAGGAAATTCCAACGCAAGGCTATTCTTCAGTAAGTTGCAAGCAAGTCTCCAGCGAGAGCGCGACTCCAGAGCGCCAGGAGAGCGATTCCTGAATAAATTGTAAGGAAGTCCCAAGCGAGAGCGCGATTCCTGAATAAATGCGAGGAAGTCTCGGGCGGGAGCGGGGGTCCTGGCTAAATTGCAAGGAAGTCTCAAGCGGGAGCCGTTGTTGTGTAACCCAAGGCCAGGGCCCAGTTTGAGCAGGAAGACTTTCCTGGTCAAAAAAACAGAGTGCGAGCGTCGAAGGGCACACTTTGATTGAGCAAACAACAGTATGCACCGGTGGGGGGGATCAACAATAGTTATTTTTCAGAAATGAGAATTCAACAACAACAACAACAACAACAACCATTTTAAGGCTGTACGCTCTTACTTGCCCGCGAGTCATTCAACACGTATACCCTACACCCTCGATACCCGCCCTCTTCGTCTTCGATCACACCCCTTTCGGGTGGATTATTTCTCTTTGCTGGGGCCGGCGGGCTTAGACGTACGGGCAAACCGGAACGGGCGGACAATCCTTCGGGGGCGTACATCTCTCGGCCCGCCATTGGAATTGGCGCGGGCCCTGCAAGAGGAGGAGGTGAAGAACGAGGGAGAGTGGGAGGAAGGGGAGGGGGAAGGACGAAGGAAGAGGGAAGATACCACGTTGTGAAGGCGTCCTTGGCGCGTGCGTGGTTCCTGAGCGCCGAAACGCAATTCCATAATAATTTGTGAGGACGTCGCACGCGAGAGCGCAGTCCTGAGTACATTGTGAGGAAATCTCAGGCGGAAGCGGGGGCCCTGACTAAGTCGCGAGGAAGTCTCAAGCGGGAGCGCCGTTCCTGAGTCAATTGCGCGGAAATGTCAGGCAGGAGCGGGGGTCCTGAGTAAAATTCGAAGAAGTCTCAGGCGGGAGCGCCGTTCCCACGTAAATCGCACGGAAGTCTTAGGCGGGAGCGGGGGTCTTGATTACATTGCGAGGAAGTCTTAGACGGGAGCGCCTCTCCTGAGTAAATTGCGCGGAAGTCTCAGGCGGGAGCGGGGGTCCTGAGCAAAAATCGAGGAAGTCTCAGGCGGGAGCCGTTGTTGTTGTAGCCCGGGGGGCAGGGGCACAGTTTGAGCAGGAAGACTTTCATTGAGAAAAAACAAGGTGCGAGCCCCGGGGGTGGCACTTCAATCGAAAAAAAATCAATGTGCACCGGTGGGGGGGGATCAACAATAATTATTCTTCAAGAATGAGAGTTCAACAACAACAATCACTTTACCCGAACGCTCAGTGTTCTCACCAGTGCCAGGGTTTTCATGCGACGCCAGCCAATACCCCCACTTTGTGGGGGGGCAGTGCAAGCTCTACCAAATATCCACACGACTCTTCGACAACAATCATTTTACCCTCATGCGCCATGCTTCCACATGACACATGCATCCATCTGGATAACACACCCCATCATGTGGGATTTTTCTGGCATGCGGGATCCGATATTCCCTTACCCAGATATCCCGCCCAAGAAGGTTTGGCCACCACTTCTTCCGAGGAGCTTCAACATCCATAGCTCGGACGGCACATCGCCTTCGCAATCGCCTTGCGCATGCCCCGCATCTCAAAGGGAGAGGAAGAGGAAGAGGAGGGGGAGATGAGAGAGATAGGGAGGGGGAGGAGGAAAAGGGAGGGGGAGGAGGGGGAGGAAGGATGAGTAGTTATAGTAGCAGCAGTTGATGATATTGTTGTTGCGGCTGTAGCACTAGTAGTAGTGGCAACGGTAGTAGTAGTCCAAGTAAGTAGAACTGGCTTGTGGCAGCCAAGCGTTCATAGCGACGTTGCTTTTTGATCCTCCTTTAATGTCTTCTCTCCCTATCCTTGCGACGCAGAAGTCTCAAAAAGTTGGATGGCTCAGCACATCCAGGAAACCTATCGCTGGACCGGCCCAGATATGGTTCCAGAAGCGGCTCGGGAAGCTGCGCAGGCGCCAGAAGCAAAGAAGCACCACGTACGGGCGCCGGCTCGGGCGTCCGGCCCAAAGCCGCTCCGCAGAATCGGCCCAGGACGGCTCCCCGGGCGCCGCGAGCAGAAATTCAGCATTTTCGAAAGAAAAATGTGTATTGGAATGGCCTCTTTTCGGCGCGATCGGAACTGCCCGGGCGTCCGGCCCGGGAGCCGGGCCGGGCGCCGGCCGGGCCGGGTGCCGGCCGGGCCGGGTGCCGGCCCGAGCTCCGGAATCGGCCCGGACGGCCTCCCGGGCGCCGGAAGCAGAACTTCAGCATTTTCGAAAGAAAAATGTGTATTGGAATGGCCTTTTTTCGGCGCCGCCTCGGAACTCGATTTTCCGGCGCCCGGGCGCCGACCCGGGCGCCGACCCGAGCTCCGGAATCGGCCCGGACGGCTTCCCTCCCCCCCCACCCCCCCCCCCCCCCCCCCCCCACCCCCCCCCCCCCTCCACCCCCCCACCCCCTCCCCCCCCCCCCCCCCCCCCCCCCCCCCCCCCCCACCCCACCCTCCCCCACCCCCCCCCCCCCCCCCTCCCCCCCCCGCCCCCCCCCCCCCCCCCCCCCCCCCCCTCCCCCCCCCCCCCCTCCCGGGCGCCGGAAGCAGAAATTCAGCATTTTCGAAAGAAAAATGTGTATTGGAATGGCTTTTTTTCGGCGCCGCCTCGGAGCTCGATTTTCCGGCGCCCGGGCGCCGGCTCGGGCGCCGACCCGGGCGTCCGGCCCGGGAGCCGAGCCGGGTGGGCGCCGACCCGGGCGTCCGGCCCGGGAGCCGAGAATCGGCACGGACGGCGGCCTCTCGGGCGCCGGAAGCAGAAATTCAGCATTTTCAAACAAAAAAAAAAAAAAAATGTGAAAATATGTATTGGAATGGAGTTTTTTCGGCGCCGCCTCGGAACTCGATTTTCCGGCGCCCGAGCGCCGGCTCGGGCGCCGACCCAGGCGTCCGGCCCGGGAGCCGGGCCGGGTGCCGGCCCGAGCTCCGGAATCGGCCCGGACGGCCTCCCGGGCGCCGGAAGCAGAAATTCAGCATTTTCGAAAGAAAAATGTGTATTGGAATGGCCTTTTTTTCGGCGCCGCCTGGGAACTCGATTTTCCGGCGCCCGGGCGCAGGCTCGGGCGCCGACCCGGGCGTCCGGCCCGGGAGCCGGGCCGGGTGCCGGCCCAGGCTCCGGAATCGGCCCGGACGGCCTCCCGAGCGCCGGAAGCAGAAATTCAGCATTTTCGAAAGAAAAATATATATTGAAATGGCGTTTTTTCGGCGCCGCCTCGAAACTTGATTTTCTGGCGCCCGGGCGCCGGCTCTGGCGCCGACCCGGGCGTCCGGCCCGGGAGCCAGGCCGGGTGCCGGCCCGAGCTCCGGAATCGGCCCAGACGGCCTCCCTCCCGGGCGCCGGAAGCAGAAATTCAGCATTTTCGAAAAAATGTGTATTGGAATGGCCTTTTTTCGGCGCCGCCTCGGAACTCGATTTTCCGGCGCCCGGGCGCCGGCTCGGGCGCCGACCCGGGCGTCCGGCCCGGGAGCCGCTCTCGGCGGCGAGCAAGAGCACCGAGCCCTAATAAAAAAGGAGGAGGTCTCGAGCCGGAGCGTTGTTGTTGTTGTTGTTGTTGGGGGGCCGGTTTTGGCGGAACCCCAAAACGCCTGAGCGTGAGCCTCAATTTCAGAGGAAATGCGGCCGGCGCCTCGGCGAGAGCGCCAAGGCGAATATAGGGGTCCCAACAATAATAA